ACATGGAGGTTTTGTGAAAGAGCTTGATAATAAGAAAGAAACAAAAATTGATTTGGGTTTGGTGGAGTGTCAATGAAGCAACACACTATGTCGTATGTTCTATATATTTTGTTTTAATTTCCTTGGATAAATTTTGCTTAGTTTGGCACCCAATCAATTTCACTATGGAAGAAACCAAACAAACAAGAACGTGGATTGAAAGGGGATTTGGATGAATGAATGGTATTGGCATCACCAGATTTTGTGGATTGAAAGGGGATTTGGATTTTTTTTCGGAAAAAAAAAGTGTCCTTTGGAGATTCGATTAACACTTCATTAGCTGAAGTTTAAAGTCATAATTCTACATTTGCCAGTGGGTGTTTACCTCAGTAGTTGAGGTCTTTGTTTGCAATCCCCATGACATCAGTTCGAATCCCATTGTGGGTGTGCCCTTCCCTTAGAATAGAATTCCCTCTCCCCCTCCCCTTTGAATAGAATATCGATGGAATAAAAAAAGAGTCATAATTCAACGAACTCCATGGCATCAATTTGAATCCCATTGTGTGGGTGCCCCCTCCCATTAGAATAGAATATCGATCGAATAAAAAAAAAAGGGTCATAATTCTATATTTAATTCCAGCTATTAGAATCTTCATGTCATAGTGGGGCCATAGATTTCTTCCTAGTTATTATTTTTTGTTTTTCATCATAGTTAGAAAGGGGGAGGGGGAGGATAAATATTTTTATGTTCAGGTACACCAATTGTCTGGCGGTGGCGGAGCAAGGATTCTTAGCATGGAGGGGCCAAAATTTCAAAGTCACTTCCACATAGGTTTTTCATCTTCAATTGAGAGGGTCAACACAAATCTAATTGCAGTAATGGTATTGCTATATCATATATTTTATAATATATTACAATAGATTGAAAATTAAATGGGTGCCCAGGGCCATGACAGGCCTTGCTATAGCTCAGCCCCAAATGTGTGGTGTACCATCCAATACACATAAGACATATGAAAATATTTCATAAAAATAAAATATTTTTACATGTCCCATTTGTATTTTATGATACACCATTTTCATATATATGCTTTTCTTTTTTTAATATATGTTCAAAAAATCCGTAGGCAGTAGGTGGGCGGCAGGCATGGGCCTAGAGCAGAGAGGAGTAATCGAGGCCTAGGCACCCCTTTTATAAATAATTATTTTGTATTATAAATTATAAATTTATACCAAAATCAGGCAAAATAATAAGATATGTAAAAGAAGACTTTAATATTTTCCAACCTTGATATTATCTAACTTTTATTTTTGTATTTTCAGTAACCTTCATATTTTTTTAAAAACTGCTATAAAAAAAAGTAAAAATAGGCCCATTTTAATACAATGTTTAAGGCCATTTTACAAAACCCAACCCGTTAATTATATTAAAAATTAGGTCAGATATCTCTTCTTCCCTAGCGTCGCCTTCTCCTTCCTCTCTGTGTTTCGATTTCATCTCTCTGTCTCTCCGTCTTTCTTCCTAACAAGCAGCGGATCTTGCGCGCTTCAACCTACCTTCGTCCGCTCCTCAACGGCAAAACGCCCACCCAGACCCGGCTAGAACCGGCTAGACCCGCGGCCTAGGCGGGCGCCCAGGCTCCGCCTAACTCCCTGGCGCCTACCCCTAATGATTAGGATGAAATGACGGCGCCGCCTAACTCCCTGCGCGCTTCAATCGCCCTTCGTCCGCCTAAACCAGCCTAGACCCGCCTAGGCCGCCTAGGCGAGCGCCCAGGCACCGCCTAACTCCCATGGGAATTGGTTGCATGGACAACATATATGGAAGTGTGGAGAGTTTTGACTCACAGCTTTTCCGAACTAAAGAATGTAGAGCCATGCTGTTACGTTCCCGCAATAGGACAGAATATCTCTTGGACAACCTCAAACTGAAATTTGATGATTGCGAACGCACGCGGTACTTTACGTGGTCTAATCCACATTGCAGCAATTTTTGGAGCAGTCTGGTTTTTAGTTATTACCAAACGGCTCGTTGTCGTCGTTGTAAGCGTCTAATGGCCACGGACACCACCCTTCCAGTGTCTGATGCTGAAGATGGTGAGGTCTTTGTAAAAGGTCCAGCCAGATTTATAATTAGGGATGATTTACAAGTGATGCCCCCATTTACTTCTACAAGCTCTTCTTTAGTTAAGAACCTTGGATTCACGGGATGGAATAGTATTGAGGAGTTGACAGTCAATGTAGGAGTTGATGAGGTAAATGATCTGTTATACCACCGAAGTTAATTTTCTAGTAAGAAATGAAATGCTAGTTTCTGATGATCTTTTCACTTTCTTCAGGTTTTGAAGTTGCTTACGTGCTCGTTAGTATCAAAGATGCCTTCCACTGAAACTCTGCTGAAACATGCACCCCTCCCAGAATTGAGCCATGAAAATGTTGACCAAGAAATATATGTTGAATCTCAAATGAAAGGAGACACCACGAATGAGGAAGAAGAAAAGATTTCTATTAGGAGTTTGTTAATTTACTCTTCAGTTTCTTGACTCTTCCACTCGGGTTTATTGTGAAACAGATGCAGGATAACTCTACGAAAGGATGCAATGGTCAGTTGTACAAAAGTGTCCTGGATCTTGATGAGCAATGCTTGAAGTCAAATAACAATAAGAAAATGCTAGTGAGTCCCAAGCTTCTCCCTGGATTTGGCTATAAGAAAGAACCATCCTTTGGGAATAGAGGAAGCCTCGTATCGGCTGGCTGTTGATACCAGCCTTATCCACTCTAATAAACAAGTGAAATCAGTTGAATTCATAGACCCAAAATCCCACCATAACAAAGATGATAACGCTCTTGGATTTTTGAAAGGACCGGCGATGTTCATGACAACCGACAGTCTCAACGTAAGTCCGATCTCTGCAATTCTTGGCCTGTCAATTTTATGCGAATTGAATGTACCTGTCACTGACATTGAGGTACAAGTTGCTGAAGTGGGGGAGAAGGAGGTGAGTTATATATATCATTTATGTTTATCATTTGTAATTTACCTAAAACTACTCTGGTTGAATCCTTAGCTGTGAGTTTCTATTTTGTTTGAAATTTTAGGCTGTTGGTTTATTATGAATATTCAATAAAGTGTTGCTGCTTGACCATGGTTGTTATTCAACATGGTTAAAGCCCAAGTAACTAGCATGTGTTGAAAATGGTTGATCTATTTGTTATAGTTATATAATCTCTTTCATATGTTTATCAATCTTGTTTCTTACTGCATGCACTCCGTCTTTTGGTGGCTTCTTTTGTTTGACTCTGCTCTAACCAGTGTCTTCCTTAGGAAGCCAAATCGAGGATTTGGATGCCTTAGTTTTCTAATAAGAAGAGGATGTATTTTGTGTTGCAGATTAATTAATTTTCTACTTTATGTATTGTTCTCTGCACTATTGTATGTTTTGTGTTATACAACTTGAAACGCTTATGATTGTTGGATTGCTGTGAGATATTGCTTTGTATCTGTGTGCCCTGTCTTGGTTTCATCTTGCTTCGTATCTAACTGTGTTACTGGGGGAAAAATATACCATTAAAATTCTGGCAATCAGGAGGTACAAACAGTGATTAGTTCCTCTATTGAAATCCAGCTTCTAAACTCATATATATGATTCTAGCCCATTTTTACAAAAAGGTTATCGGAGTCTGGGATTCACCCTTCTTAGTATCTTACCATCGCCTCATCTGCCGCCAATGCTGAGGCTGAAGCAGCCCTTCTTGGCTGTCGTCTGGCTATACTGAGAGAAACCTCCACCATCTTCAGATCGAATTTGATTCGAGGGTTTTGGTCCTATGGATTCAGGAGAACTTTCGCAGCAGTATGTGGGAATTATTCCCAACTCTTATAGAATCAAGGAAGTATGCAGAGCCTTTAGTTCTATGTTTGTACTTTCTTAGGTCAGTGCTAGGGATATTACTCACCTGTTCAATTGCTAGTGGAGGTGGAAGTTTCTTTATTCTGAAATTTTAATGAAATTTTGCTACACGGTTGATTTGATGCATCTTATGTAGGCTCTTTGCTTTCTTCTTCTTCTTGGAATTGTATTATTCTTATTTATGAT